TCTCAAGCCTAGAGTTTTCCTCCTGTTTATTCTTGCCCCCTGCCAGCCCCACCTATCCTTTCTCTGTCTAGCTATTGGCCATTCAGCTCTTTATTAGACCAATCAGGTGCTTAGGCAGGCAAGGGGAAACAAATGCAACACATCTTTACACAATCAAACAAATGCAGCATACACAAAAGTAACACACCTTTACACAGTTAAAGTAATATTCTGCAGCATAAACCAATATAACACATCTTTGCCTAGTTAAAATATTCCACAACAGAGTACAAATATCTTTTGGAAAACCATTATTTAGCCTTCTCTACCAATTAAAGTATTAGCAATTACCACCAAGTTTCTTGAATCAGAAAGTTTGGACCCACCACTGTTGTAAGAATTCTCCTCAATTCATTCATAATGTATATAGTCCCCATCTTCTAAGTGAACCTTAAATCTTATCAGTAATTTTCACTCACCTACCACCTACCTAACCATAAACACATGTCCTTCCTGGACTACTTTAACAGTTTTCTTATGTCAATTTTATTCCCTTGTTTGTGAAATATCCATCTCCATGCACTAGGCCAAGAGCTGCAGGGAGACAGGTTTTGCACACCTTTGTATTTTAGGTCCCAGGACAGTGTAAGACAAATTGCTAAACAGTCTTATTAATATAAAAAAAAACCCCAAAACAAAAAACTGGAGCCAGATATTGGAGTGAAAGCCGAGAGATCAGAGGAACAGAACAAGCCACAGCCACAAGTTCTTACTGCTAGGAAGTTCTCAGGCCAAGAGAGAGCCACTTCCAGGATACTCACTCTTACATCCTTTCTGTGCCCTGCCATCTCACTTCCTCTCTCTCTGCCCAGCTACATCACTTCCTCTTTCCGCCCAGCTCTATCACTTCCTGTCTGTCTGTACAGACCTCCAGACCTCTATGGTTAACTAGTGCTGGGAATTAAAGGTGTGTGCCACCACACCTGGCTCTGTTCCCAGTGTGGCCTTGAACTCACAGAGATCTGGATCCACTGCCTGGCCTCTATGTTTAATATAGTGGCTGGCTTTTTCCTCTGATCTCCACACAAGATTTATTTACTAGAGCACAAATAAAATATCACCACAGGACAGTGCCTAGTATTGTGTGGGTATCTTCAATAAATGCATTCAACACATGTATCAAAGGATGAATGGTGTAGCAATGGAGGGGTTCCCCTTCTAGTCAACAGCCATCTAACTCCTTGTTCTCATGGTGTTTTACATTTTAGCCGAGAGAGAATGAATGCATAATAAACACACAGTAACTTCATCATACATACTTACATATTCATGTGCATCAAAATGATGTTTCACTCAGCAATGGATTGCACATGGGACAGTGGAGTGAGTTCCTTACTCTCTAGCGCATGCACCACGGCAAAGTCACCCACAGACTCCTTTTCTAGAATTATCTCTGTTCTCAACTGATACATGTTATTTATGACATTAGAATGTGGAATGCAGTTTAAAAAAGATAGGGCACCCCAAAGGGGGCAGTTCTGGATGAGGTGGAGTCTCCTAGGTGGACAGATGAGGAAAGGCCTCAAGGAGCTGAGGGGATGAGTCGTGACCTTTATGAAAGAGGTCCCCAAGACTCAGAGACAACATTTCAGGAAGTCCCTGAGGAAGGAGTGGTCTTGACCAAGAGGAAGATGGGTCTAGCTGGAGAAAGGGAGGGAAGTGAGGTGTAGTGGGAGGTAGAGACTGAGCAGCCACAGGGTCAGCATGCAGAGGGTCTTCTAGGGTGATGGGAGGGCCTTAGCCTCTCCCTTCTCCTCTGAGTTAGATGGGGGAGTTGCTGGAGGGTTTCGAGAAGGGAGAAGAGGAGCGCCATCCAATTTAGATTTTAAAGGTATCTCTGCCTCATGAGCAGTGGCAGACACAGAGAGGGACGTCAATGATAATGGTGGTTTACATGGCGGGCATGGCAGGCAGTGGGAATGGTCAGGAAGGGTCCGATTTTGTTTGCAGGTTGAAAATAGGAGCAATAGGTCTTCCAGACAGATGAGGAGAGGGAAGGAGGGAGCGAGAGGGAGAGGGAGAACAGCAGGAGGTCTCACTACTACCACAGAGGTTCTCAGTGTAAGCAACTAGAAGCCAGACTATATTCAGTGTTTTGTCTGACTTAATTCCCTAAAGCCACTGGAACAGCACAGCGCCTTGCAACAGCTGCATCGCCTTGTCATCCATCCTTCCCTGGAGGGAGTCTGACCCCTTCCCCAAACTCATGCCCAACCGTGGGCCTCTCCTCCGTCTGTGTACACTGGCCTTACACCAATCCCTTGCTCGGAATAAGGCATAGCCTACATCGGCCTCAGTCCTTACATGAACAGAAGTGACAGGGTGGCCCGAACTCTCCTCTGGTCTGAGTCTTGGTACCCTGTTTGCGTGTCCTTCTGTCCCTTCGCTTTTCATTCTCATGCAGGGTTCTCAAGGCTTGGCTTGATTACTGCTTGCAGCCATATCGTATCTCCTTGCCCTGGTATGGAACACTGACGAGCGATCAGCAGTCTGGCACTGATGCTGGCCCAGGCAGCCCGACCAAGTGCTGATACGGTAAAAGTAGGGTGCCTGTAGGTTTGAGGGAGGCTTTATCTCTTGCCTCAGGTGGGCATTAGGGAACTAGGGTGACAGATGTTCATGGCCACACAGCGCTTCTGTGAAGTCAGTAGCCTCTGGGGAGAGCGGAACCAAGGACACCTCCAGGTTCTGGCCGAGGGCACCAATCTTCTGAGGTCTCTTCCCTCAACTGCCTGGGCTCATTTTTATCTCCTGTTCTTATCAGTGCCACTTGCAACCGCGTTGACTCAGATTCCTCCCGGATTGGCCCTTCGAGGTGTTTGGCACGACAAGCCGAGCTGCGAAGGGGTTGCAGCTGTCTCGGCGCTGGCTTGTTCCTCACGCCCGGTGTCTGTGGAGCTATGTGGGTCACGTGCATCGGGCGCTGCAGGGCTTTGAGATCCTGTGGCAAAAACAGTTGTCTGCCGTAGTTGGCTTTATTTTGACCCAGTCCCCACCCCGCAGAAGCCTCTCGGTGGGGTGCAGCATAGGGTCAGGCATCTCTTGTTTCCTTCTTGGTAGTATTGGGAGGGCTACCATTTGGCATTTCTCCCAACTTTTGGTTGGGAGTGTGTGCACAGACCCATGAACACACAAATGATGCCCATTGAAAACAAAACGCCCTGGCAGGGGGGTGGTGGTGATGAATTTAAATCGGCTCAATTATATTTGTTCTGGAACGATCCATGTTTATTTAAGTCACCAGCCTCCCTCCTAAGTGCAGTCACAAGTTCTCTCAAATTCCCCAGACACCCAAATAACCCCATATTTAAAAACTTTTGCCCTTCCCAGCATCCTACCCCCAGGCTACCTTGGTTGCTGAGTGTGACAGGTGCATTGTGGGCCAGATGGCCTGGGCAAGTGAAAGGCCTCTGTCACGTTCTACATCAGGAAATGAAAAGGTGTCTCTGGGGAACTGAAAATTGTGTGGCCAGAGCACATAGTCTTCGTGCCATTAGGCAAAGGAGTCTGAACCAAAGACTGCCTGTGAGAGGACAGACCGCTCTGGTCTTCTCACCAGCCCTGCCCTTGCCCCTGCTTTGATTTACCTCGGAATTTCCAGCTGCCACAAGTTCTGCTTAATTAGGGGGCCCCAGTGGAGAGATTTGGAACTAGAACCAAATGCAAGGGTCTCTCCCCATTCATTACCTTTCAGGAACATTCTGACCTGGTGTGGAGCTGAGCCATCTTTTGCCACACTGAGGGCTCAATGTCATTCATTCTTTTTGGGTGAATTTAACATTGCCACGATGATGTGATGAATTGGAAGGGCAGAAGGCATTTCTCAGTTTTCTGACAATAGTTACAGCAAAATCTGCCATGAAGCCGTATTTCCCCATGCGTAGTTTAGATATATCTGTACCGGAGGGAGAGACACGAAATTTCATTTGAGGAAGTGTGACCTCTGATGGCAACATCTTTTTCAAATGCCGCACAGGTGCCAGGAGAGGTAATAGTATAGTCTTCAGAGGCTTGTTTCTGGGGAAGCATCCCTGGGGCCCCTGTCCAGTGGAACCACGTTTGTCTTGGTGCTCTGAGAGACTAGAATGCCGAAGCCCATTCTTTGACCCCACCCCATGCGAAGGGACATTGATTTAGCATTTACTAGGGCTCAAGCAATGTTCTAAGGGATTTAGCTCTATTAACTTAGTTTCATAAACCACTGACTGCTGCTAATGAAAGGACCCAAGATGCATAAGACGTGTGTGCATTGTGTTCCTTTGCTTTTATGAAAAGCAACAAATACATGTAACATAAATCTTTTTGTCTCTGTTTCCATCTGTCTGCCTGCCTGGCTCTGTCTGTCTGTCTTTCTCTGTCTCTCTGTGTATGTGTGTAAGTGTATTTGCAAGAAGAGGAAATGTATAGAAAGTTGACCAAGAAAATGGTGCATAAGTTATTTCTGAGTCGATGAACTGAGGGACTATGGTGTAAACAGGAGAATTTTCTCATGTAATTTGCTCTCTTTGAATTACGGGTTGTGTGTGTGTGTGTGTGTGTGTGTGTGTGTGTGTGTGTGTGTGTGTGGTATATGTATGTATATACTTGTGTAGGTGTGTGCCCATGTTCCTGTTGGTGTGCATGCACTTGTATGGAGGTGGAGGTCAGTATTGGGGTCTTCTTCCATCACTCCCCACCTTTGTTTCTGAGGCAGGCTTTCTCACTACATCTTCACTGATTTGGGAGGAATAGACTGGATAATGAGCTCCAGGGATCTGCCCATCCCTGCCCATCATACAACAGTGCTTACCACTAGGCTCAGCTTTTGTGTGGGTGCTGCAGATCCACATCAGGTCCTTATACCTATGCAACAGGTATTTTTTATTGACTGAGCCTTGGCCCCTGGAATTATTTTTCACCAAGTGGGAACTGTTTCTGTTTCAATAAAAACTACATTTGTTTTGGAATGGAACAGGATGAAAGCTCTACAGGGCAAGATGACTTTTCGGTTGGGACTTGGGTTGAATCCCAGAGAGCAAGCCTGGTGTAATCTTATACATAGAACACTATGGGAAGGAGATGGAGTGGGAGGGTAGTCGAAAAAGAGGGTGAGGGAAGAAGAGGGGTAAGGAGAGAGCAAAACCATTGCTGGAAATAGCAGTTAAAGCCTGCCAGTGTCAACTGAAAACGAGAAGTGAGATTGCACCTGTAACTTACCATGTCTGTGTGCTTTCAATCCTAAGCTTCGCCACCTAATGAGACAGGTAGGTCTCACTTTCTCACGCTCCCACACTCAAATCCTATTGATAAAAATATGTAAGATAGTCATTACTGTCTTCTGTTGGGATATTGGCTAATTACACACTCCTCAAATATATGTAGCAGGAATTGGCTGGGTTGGGAATGTGAGAGCCAAGCCTAGGAAACTCACACTTTCAATAAAGATAGTACATGCACTCAAAACTCCACCAAATGCACCCAATCCTTTGACATTTTGACACAACATTGCCATCTATAAAGTTGACATTTGAGGACTAACAATCCAGTTTGAAAATCGGAAAAGTATCTCATCATGTTTTAAGTAAGTCTAGAGTTTTGTATTAGAAAGGGTTTATAGCTACCCTTAACCACAGGCTGCCACACGCAGCCCATGGTCATAGGTTGAGCATGCTTGCAGACACAAAGACTCCTGGGTGATGGGATTTCAGAGTAGAACAGGACTCTTAGTCAGGAGCAATTAGGCCATTTAGAACGGGTTCTGTTGCAATGTGGTTTGGGGTGAGGGAAAGAAGGTTACCCTGAGCAGAGACTGGATTAAGAAATGAGACAAGGTTGTAGTTAGGCAACCAATCGTTGTTTCTAACACAGGGTTCTGGGATGGGAGTGCAGGAAGGCAGGCCGTGAGGATGGGAGAGTCAGTGTACAGGGTTTGGGGTTCCACTTCATGTAAGCTGAGGGAAGCTACTTACCCCAAGTTGCAGTGGAGTAGAGTAAGAGAGGACAACAGAGAGCATGGAAAGGCTTTGGAGGTTTGGGGGCTAGAGTCTAGCTGATAGAAACGGTCAGAACCTGGGAAAGAATAAAGCAGGCAGCTATTCAAGACAATTGGTCAAGGGGTACAGAGAAGTGGCTGGGTGTCGGGAGAGAGAAAGCAGCTGGGGCCATTTGAGCCTGGTTGTTCAGGAGGCCAGAGCTGGAATGAACACATCTGGTGGGAATGGAGTAAAAGAAGATGAGTCAACATGGATTTGGGCCTTGTACACTGTCTCCACAAGTTTGAGGCTGGGGTGGGAGAGATGTGGGAAGGGGTGGTGGGGTAAACTGGGTCAGGGAGAGCTGAAATCCAGAGAAGAGATTTTTTTAAAACAATTAGAGGTTTTGTTTGTTTGTTTTGTTCTGTTTTTTAAAGAAAGATGATCAAACCAGGTAGGGTAGAGGGGCTGGGGAGATGGCTCATTTGGTAAAATGTTTGCTGCATCACCATCAGTATCTGAGTTTTTCATCCCCTGCACACCCTGGAAGCCTTCCAGGGGCTCTATAACCTCCGCATGGAGAGCAGTGATGAGGAATATCTGTTTACACTGTGAAGATGGGTCTCTGCCTAAGGCGCCTTCTGATTGGTTTGATAAAGAGCTAAATGGCCAATAGCTAGGCAGGAGAGACTAGGTGGGACTTCCGGGCAGAAAGAGAGAGAGAGAGAGAGAGAGAGAGAGAGAAGCGGGGAGGAGGAATCTAGGCACTAGGTGCATAATTTCACCAGCAGACTTGGAGCAATTGGACATGCCGTACTAAGAAGAGGTAACCGAGCCACATGGCAGGATGTAGATTAAAAAAATATGAGTTAGTCGAATTATAAGAGCCAGTTTGGAAAAGGTCTAAGCTAAAGCCAAGCTTTCAGAGTTGATATTAAGCCTCTGTATCGTTGTTGGGGAGCTGGCAGTCCCACAGAGGAAAGACCGACTGCATCTGAAAAGACTTGCTAAGGAGCAGTGCGGGGTGATGTTGGGGAGCAGAGACAGGCAGCTCTCCCAGGTCACTGGCTGGCTAGCCTAGCGACATCAGTGAGCTCCAGAGAGGCCTTGCCTCCAAAAAGGTAAAGAACAGTAACCAAAAATTGACCTTTGGCCTCCACATGTGTATGAACCCATACCACCACTCATCCATCCATACCCACCCCCTTCTACACACATACACCCCCCCACACACACAAATTAGGAAAAAAAAATTAGATGTGTTAGAGAAAGCAAGATGCTGGGAGGATGAGGGAAGGGCAGTTATGTAACCCCAATTGTGCCAGTTTAACGAGGGGTCTGGCATACCCAGGACGTGGTGGAGAGCTGAGGTCAGAGGGGCTTTGGAAGGGTGCTGGAAGATCTGGAGTACCTACTTGGGAGATTGTTAGCTGAAGGAAATACAGTTTGCAAATGTCGGGACCATAGGACAAGGCCAAACCAGAAGAGACATCCTATTTGAACTTCAGTACTAAAAAAACAAAAAATAAATCAATTTATAGTACTTTAAAATTGGTAGATTTTTACATAAAAACCCTTTATTCTGACCCCAAGCTATCTTGCCCCTTTGGGCCTGCTTCCTCTGGACACTGGAGTTGTGGTGGGGATGAAAGGAGTAGCCTGTGGGGCCCAGCCTGCCTCTCCTCGTCCTGCAGCCTGTCCTTCCTTCCTCCTCATTTGGAGTTGAAGTTGGGGAGATCGTCTGGTGGCATCGGGGACACACACTTAGGGCTCCTTCAAAAGCCGGAGGTAATGTTCCAAAGAGAACAAGGCTGGGAACTCGGGGTGTGGGGACAAGAAGAGGGTGTGTACTAGGGTCTGGGAGGCTCAGGGGCCTCCGTTCAAGGGGAACCAGCAAGGTAAAGGTAGAGGACTTGAATGCTGAGAGGGGAAGTGAGGAGTGAAACCGAAAAGGGGATGTGGGCGCCGAGAAGAGGAAAAGGAACCTGCATCTGAAGTAGGAAAAAGGGAGGAAGCCAGACATGGCCAGCGTGGGACTGCTTTGTGCTGGAGAGGCAGGGTTGCTGGGGCAGAGCTTGGAACCACGCCACTGGCTGGGCTTGGACATAAAACGGAGCAGAGGGCAGCATGAATGTGTAAGTGAGTGAGTGAGTGTGTGTGTGTGTGTGTGTGTGTGTGTGTGTGTGTGTGTGTGTGTATGTGTGTGTTGTATCCTGGGGTAGGACAGCAATTTGAAGCTTTTGAAGTAGACTTTCTTTATTTCTTCCTGAGAGTTTTACATATCTTTGTTTGAAAATAGAATTTATTCATACATCAAATATATTGTTTATGCTTAGCTGAAATTGCCTTTTACCTCATGCATCCTCTGTGCTGTTTATTATTGATTTCTTTGGTTCTCTCTCTCTCTCTCTCTCTCTCTCTTTCTCTCTCTCTGTGTATGTATATTTGCTCCCCTCCCCCGTTTTGAGATTTGTTTCATGAATCAAGCAACTTCACAGGAGACATCTTAGAGTAAAAAAATACCCCTTCCCCCACACACACACATTGGCAAATTGGGCAACGCCCTGCATTGTGCAGGGTCCGTATCCCCTTGTTCCTCAGGTGTGTCTGGAGCTCAAGATCTGGTCTCAAGATGGGGATTCAGGCTGTGGACCCATCCTTAGACTCCTTAGAACCCCCATGGGACAGGTGGTACTTGTGGTGACGGCTAAGCAATGTGCTTCCTTCCACCTGGACAGTTGTATGTAGACTGTCTCATGGAAGGCCGAGAACACTGGCGACCCAATGCAGGTTTACTCCCCATTGGCTTTGGGGATGCTTCAGTAAACTGACACCTGTAGTGGCTAATCCACCCCTCTGCATTTGGGTAATGTTTGGGTTGCGTTACAATATTACTGGCTAGGAAACGAGCCTTAGTCAAGTCAGATAAAAGTACCAGAGAGTCTCAGGGAGGGGCTGGCAGGTCAAAGTAGGGGTGCTAGCAGGGTGAACCCTTGAATTGATAGATCTCATAAATCCCTGGAAGGTAGCAGGACCAGAGTAAGTATGGGTGGATGGTAGGATGAAGGAAAGAAGAGAGTGTTTGATCTTCCTAGAGAATTTTCCATTTCATTTCACGAAGAAACTAGAGTCAGATTTTAGAATTTGTCTGTATTTGGTTATGGCAGTGAAATTTTTGTGTAAGTTTCTTTTTAAAGTAGAGGCCTGCTAATACAGAAAGAAAGGCAAGAAGGTTGTGAGAGCCAAAGGTCAGGCAGGACTGGCATGACACTGTCTTCTAGGCATGACAGACTGTTGCACTCATGTATTGTAGCAGCTGTGGTTGCTTGTACAAGACCTGTACAAGATCAAGCCAGCCAATGTCCCAGCACAGAGTGCAGAAGGAGTCATGAGGTCCCATCCCTACTTGATTAGCAACTGATAGCTGAAAGTGTCCGAGAAAGGGAGAACCAGTTTTTTTTCTTCTCTTTTTAAAGATTCAGTCCCTGAGCCTCTGACCACACTCTAGTTGGTGACCCCACACCAGTGAGTGTATGAACACCACAATATTGGTCTCGTTGGGTTATGAAAAAGAGGAGGGCATAAAGTTGGGAGGGGTGGGAGTGAGGAGGTGGATCTGGAAGGAGGTAGGGGGTAGATGTCATCAGAATACATTGTATGAATTAGTGAAGGTAGGTTAAATGACATGTGGTAGGATTTCATGCTATTCTGAAATGTAATGATTTCTATCCAGCCTGAGCCCTTAGCTTCGTATTTGTTAAAATACAATGCAGCCAGGCTGGTGTGAGTGAGCATCCCTGTCTTGTTCCCAATACTTGGAGGAAATACATTCAATATCTCAGGGTTATATATGATGCTACCTGTACATTTTTCAAAGATTTTTTTTTTATCAGACTGAGGAAGCTCATTTCTAGTCCTAGTTCTCTGACAGTCTTTGTTGTGAGTGGACACAGGCTCTTGTCAGAAGTCTTGTTGCATGGATGGGATGGCCTTCTGGCTTTTCTTCTCTGTTTTGTTATTGCAGAAAATTACATGAAATGATTTGAATTAATCTAACATTCTAAGGATAGTTCCAATTGGCCGTTGCAGTACTTAATCTTTATTGTCAACTTGGTAGGGTTTTGAATCACCATGGAAACCTCTGAGAGTGTCTATGAGAGACTTTCTAGATTAGGCTAACTGAGACTGAAGACTCACCCTAAATGTGGGTGGCATCATTCCATGGACTGGGACCATGGCTGAGTAAAAAGGAAAAGGAAACCCTAGCAGTATGGCATTCATTGCTATTTATTTCCTAACTGTAGATACAATGTGACCAGCTGCCTCAAGTTCCTCCTGCTCTGACCTTTCTGCCATGATGGTCTAGACCCTCAAACTTCAAGTCAAATGAAAGCCATTTAAACATTTCTTAAGTGGTTTTTACTACTTTTTAAAATAATATGATTATTTTATTTTTTACGTATGGATGCTTGCCTGCATGTGTGTCTGTGTACCATATACATGCCTGGTATCCATGCAGGCCAGACACGGGCACAGGATTCCCTGGAACTGGAGTTACAGGTGGTTGGGAGCTGCCATGTGGGTTCTGGGAACTGAATCTCAGACCTCTGGAAGAGTAGCTAGTGAATAATAGATACATTTAAAATAAAAGAAAGTACTAAATAGTTATAGTTAGACTTTAGAATTTAATGTTGGGCTTTGGTAAGTTGTATTTTTAAGAAGTTTTTCCATTTTATTTGAATTGTCAAATTTGTTCATGATTGATAGTCTCCCTTTAGTTCTGTTAGGACAACTTATGATTTTTATTTCTCCCCCTGTTTGATTTCCTAGAGAATTTTCAGTTTTCATTTGCTGGCTGCTCTTTCATAGGTTAGAGATGGGCTAGTTTTAATTTTGTTTGCATGTTAGAGCAAATGGTGTCAGGAGAATACAAGCACTAGTAGTGATGACTAAGAGTTAACAATAATAACCTATTTTTAACTCCCCAGTGGGCAAGGTGCTGCAGCCTGCTTTCTAATAGATCATGTCTAATCTTTCATGCAGTATTGCTATTGGAGATTTCAAAAGGCCAATCACCTTGCCTAGGGCCACACAACTGCTGATGGCTTACTGAGACTTTGGAGTCATGTGCTTTCCAGGAAGGAGGCCATGTTACCTCTCCATGGGGCTCAGAAAATTCTCAGCTCAGCCAATGGACTTGAATTCTGTTGTCCCCAGGTTGTGTGTAGACTTCTGGTATCACTCACTCATGAGCTCATCAGACAGAGTGTCCTCCTGTCTCTGGCAGAGGACATCGCTTCTAATTCAAACCTCTGTCAAACACTAAACCTTTCTCAAGAATGATCACATACGAATCTTATATGGTCCCAGTGCAGATAAGACCTGAGAGCATGCTTTCCTTTTTAAAGATAATCAGCTAGTTTACAAGCACTTATTCACTATGTAAACAAAGAGTTTTATTCTAATGATTTGTATGTGTCTAATTCCCAAAAGCACACCAGGTAAGCATAAAACAGCATACATAATACTGTGCTACATACATCATACCACCAGCCTATCTTTATTAAAAAAGAAATCATGAGCTGAAAGTTATTATTCTTTTCCAAATTCACAAGATGAGGGAAAGAGCAGGTTCAAATTCATGACCTCTTTCTCTGGTAGCCAAGTCTTCTTACCTCACTGGCCTATGTTGTTATTATTTATACTACGGATCAAGGAAAAGAATCTATGGGCCGGTGAAATAGTTCTGTGGGTAAAGGCATATCTGTGCAACCCTGGTGATCTGAGTTCTGTCCCCAGAGACCACATGAAGGTGGAAGGAGAGAACTGATGTCACAAAGTTGTCCGATAATCTTCATATAAATGTTGTGGTATGTGCGCCTGCACAGACACATATACACTCCCCTCTCCCCCACATTCTTTTTTTTTTTTTTTTTTTTTTTTTGGTTTTTCGAGACAGGGTTTCTCTGTGTAGCTTTGCGCCTTTCCTGGAACTCACTTGGTAGCCCAGGCTGGCCTCGAACCCACAGAGATCCGCCTGGCTCTGCCTCCCGAGTGCTGGGATTAAAGGCGTGCGCCACGACCGCCCGGCTTCTCCCCCACATTCTAAATGCATTTTAAAAAAATTGGAAAAGAATTCAAAATATAAGTCATGCAAAACTTGTTTATAATACCAATGTATCGGGCTGGAGAGATGGCTCAGAGTTTAAGAGCACTGACTGCTCTTCCAAAGGTCCTGAGTTCAATTCCCAGCAACCACATGGTGGCTCACAGCCATCTATCATGAGATCTGGTGCCCTCTTCTGGCCTGCAGGGATACATACAGGCAGAACACTGTACACATAATTAATAAATAAATCTTTTAAAAAAATACCAATGTATCAGTCACCAAATTCCTCTGTTATATTCATTAAAAAATAAGTATTGAAAGTTGCTCTGAGCTTTCTGGTATAAAACACAGACTTATAGGGGCTGGAGAGATGGCTCAGTGGTTAAGAGCACTGTCTGCTC